TGGTGGGTTTGAACTGCCGATCTTATGGTTAGCAGCTGAGGGCTTTAACCATCACACCATCAAGGCTGCTTTCTCTCTGACTAGATAATAGGAATCCTTAGTTGGGGGTGGGTGCACACTGGATAATTTAGAAACCAGACTGCACTAAGCATAGCACCAAACAAACAAAAGAACTCAGTGAACTGTTGTTAAACTTAACATCCCAACTGGCTTGGCCTCCACACAGGCTCCCTTCACCCCTTGCTTAGCTTCTTGGACCAAATTCAAGTGCAGAACAGAGGCCAGCCACCCACTCTGGAAATCCAACAGCATCAGTGAATTGTGTTTGGGCACGGAGTGGAGCAGGTGGATCCTGAACAAAGCACAATGCTTCTCCTGATGCCTGGAATAAACATCCTCCCCCAGGAGAGGCTGTGGGCCAGCATCATGGGAGAGTGGGCAGGAGGAAGCCACAGCTTGCCACGCCGTTCATGGGAATCAGATTTGCAAGACCCTAACTACATCTGCTCGCACCCTTTACTTTGCAAAAAAAATAACCACAATAATAAAACATGTAACCTTTCTAGAGTAGCATTTTTAAACTTCTTGAAGAACTCTTTTCTTAAAAATTGTATTTATTTTGTTGTTGTCATTGTTGAGAATACACAAAGCAAAACATACACCAATTCAACAGTTTCTACATGTACAATTCCAAACCAAAAGACGAACCCCTTTGCCATCGAGTCAATTCCGACTCATAGAGACCCTATAGGACAGAGTAAAACTGCCACATAGGGTTTCCAAGGAGTGCCTAGTGGATTTGAACCATCGATGTTTTACTTAGCAGCCTAACTCTTAACCACTATGCCACTAGGGTTTCCATGTACAATTCAGTGACTTTGATATCATTCTTCAAGTTATGCAAACATTCTCACATTCCTTTTCTGAGTTGTTCCTCCCCCATTAACATACAGTCACTGCCCCCTAAAGTTCCTATCTAATCTTTTGAGTTTCTGTTGTCAGTTTCATCCCATATAGATAGTTCTTCAAAGAACTCTTAACATATTAAAGAAGCACATTAAGCACTGGGTTGAGGGAGGGTACAGACAGACATTTTTCCAAATGACCTTTAAGACATATCCCAATGCTGAGATTCTACAACCTCCTTACCCTCTTTTTTAAAAATAGTTTTATCTATTTTGGTGTGAGGTTGGCAACGCAGGTAAAATGCCTATTTTCAGCTAGGGGCTGGAGTAACTAAGGGACCTGCTGTGTGAGCAGCTGGGCTAGAGGGGAAGGCCAGGCTTTCTGTCTCCTGAGCTCAGGCTCTTTCGGTAGACACACCATCTTCATCACTCCTCCATCTGAAACTTATTTTTTCTGCATGGAAACTGACCTTTAGTGTTTGGGCAGAGGGTAAGGAAGGAGTGGGCAGGAGGATATGAACTGGAGGCTGGAGGCAGCCTGCCACGGGTGAAGTCAAGGTGAAAGAATAAGGCTGATGGGAGCTGGCTGAGCAAACACAAAGTCTGCAGATAAACAGATGTGGCTCTAGAGAAAGGTGGTTCTAAAGAGTCGGTGGGTTCCCCTGGACTTGGGATGGGTGACACATTCCGCTAACAAGAGTTTTAGATGTGGTAATGGGGCATGAGAAGGCTAGGGGACTGCTTTCCATCCTCTAGCTAATGGAGGTGATTTCTGCCTAGAGGTCAAAGATGGGAGCAAAAGGAGAGAGCTGGGATATAAATGTCTACGAAATGCATGTACAGAAGACAGGCCTAAATAGTCCACATGGTGTTATTGTGTGTCATCAAGTCTATTCCAACTCATAGTGAACGTATAGGACAGAGTAAAACTGTCCCCGTGGGGTTTCCAAAGCTGTTATCTTTACAGAAGCAGACTCCACATCTCTCTCTGGCGGAGTGGCTGGTGGGTTCAAACTGCTGACCTTTTGGTTAGTAGCTGAGAGAATATGCTGCACCACCAGGGCTCCTTTAAATAATCCACATGGTGAGAGCTAACTCACTGGGTACTTGCCAGGCACCAGTGCGCGATGAGTGTCTGGGTAACTGAGAACAACGCATGCGTAGTTTCTGTTATGGGCATGGAGCAGATGCAGCAGCTTGTCGATATGACATGGGTACTCAAGGATGACATGTTAGGGGAATTCAGATCCTTCATGCCCCTCATTAGGCTGTGGGTAGGGCTTGAATTTCCCACCATTAGAACAAGTGCCTTAAGGGCCTCTGACACCAGAAGTACAAAAGCAACCTAAAGAAAATTTGGAAGCACTATGGTGGTGCAGGAGCCCTGGTGGCACAGTGGTTAAGAGCCTGGCTGCTAACCAAAAGGTCAGCAGTTCAAGTCCACCAGCCGCTCCCTGGAAACCCCATGGGGCAGTTCTACTCTGCCCTATAGGGTTGTGATGAGTTGGAATTGATTTGAAGGCAGTGGGTTTGGTTTGGTGCAAGAGGAGCCCTGGTGGCGCAATGGTTAAGCACTCGGCTGGTAACCTAAAGGTCAGTGCTTCAAATCCACCAGTGGCTCAGCAGGAGAAAAGAACTGGCCATCTGCTCCATAAAGATTTCGGCCTAGGAAACCCTATGGGGCCGTTCTATTCTGCCACATATAGAGTTGCTATGAGTCAGAACTGACTTGATGGCACACAACATGGCGGTTGGTGGTACAAATCTACCCAGAGGCACCTGGAGACACACCTGGCGATCTGCTTCTGAAAGGTTATCGCCCTGAAAACCCTGTGGAATAGTTCTCCATTTGACGGCAACGAACAACAACACACCACTCACAAGTCCCTAGGTGAAGATGGCGGTTCAAGTCCACCCAGAGGCACTCAGAAGAAAGGCCTGGTGATCTACTTCTGAAAAATCAGCCATTGAAAACTCTACGGAGAACGGTTCTACTCTGACACACAGGGGGTTGCCGTGTGTCGGCACTGACTCAGTGGCAACTGGTACACCATCAGCAGCCTTTGGCATGGACTGAGTATCAGATAGGAAGGGAGCAGGACCAAGGAAAAGGCATCTGGGACACAACAGGGAGCTATGGATTTTAGAAAAGGATTGCTAAGGGAGGAGAAATTGCTTTGGGGAGTGGTGGGAGGCATTGCTGCTAAAGGGCTGGAGAAGAGAGGCCTTAAGGAAGGAAGAGGGAATCAGTAACAGTGGAAGCACCAGAGAAGGATTAGCAGCACTATGCAAATGCTCCCAGAGCATCCATTCATTCTGGCTGTGTGGAAGCCTTTAGGATTCAAAACTGGGGGAGCTACCCTCTTTCCAGGAGGCCCTGAGTGGCACACATGGTTAAGCGCTTGACTACTAGCTGAAAGGTTGGCAGTTCGAACCCACCCAGAGGCATCTTAGAAGACAGGCCTGGTGATCTGCTTCTGAAAGATCACAGCCTTGAAAACCCTACAGAGCAGTTCTACTCTGCACACATGGGGTCACCCTAAGTTGGAGTCAACTCAACAACAACTCACACCAACAAGAAGCTCTCTTTCCACTTCCCTATTAGCAGATACTCTCCAAATCTCAGAGCAGTGTGCCAAGACCCTCTCAGCTGTGACACAAAGTAGATTAGCCAGCAATCAGGTAGGTGAGAAAGGGAGCACAGCGCAGGAAGAGGAGTTACTCTTGGAGCAGCAGCCAGTTTCTGGCCCTTGTCTTGTATGACGGCTCTAGTTAAATGTGAACTTTAAAGACCCGTGGACAGACAGAAATGAAAAAGAATTAGCTGAAAAGCTCCTGGAATTAATAAGCAAGTTTAAGAAAAAGGCTCAACCCAAGATAAATACACAAAACTAAATTAACTTTCTAATATATCAGCAATCATCAATTAGCATCTATAACTGGAAATCTATATTATAAATAACCTTAAGAAATCCATAAAATCTATAGGAAAAAATTTTTTTAAATCATGATACTAAGCGATACAATAAAAAACAAAAAAAATGGAGGGATTTTAGAGCAGTTTCAATTAAAATATTTGTGAGGTTTTTTCTGATCTTTACAGATATTTCTAAAGTTTTTCTAGATGAATAGATTAAAAAATAGTTTGCATTTTTTGCAGTGTACTGAGGAAAGAACAGCCTGGTTGGGTATCAAAAAACACTATAATGTAAAGGTATAATAATTTTTAAAAATTTACAACAGTCTAAAGTATAGACAAACTGAACAAATAAAATATCTCTGAAGAATATGCCCTGCAACATATAAAAATATATGCTAAAAGCAGCATTCCAATCAACAAAGAAAGTGATCATTCAATAAACAATGTTAGGAAAAATGCTTATATGGAAAAGAATATAGCAAAATAAATTCTATATGGAATAAAGAGTTATATGCAAATAGAAATAATGAACCAATTGACATTTTAGGTGACTAGGCACAGTGGATTAAGCGTTTGACTGCTAACCAAAAGGTCAGCAGTTCAAATCCACCAGCCACTCCTTGGAAACCCTGGAGGGCAGTTCTACACTGCAATCAACTCTACGGCAACAGGTTTTCAAGAAGTTCCTGGGCGGTACAAATGGTTAACACGCTTGGCAGCTAACTGAAAAGTTGGAGGTTCGAATCCACCCAGAGGTGCCTCAAAAGAAAGTCCTGGCAATCTACTTCTGAAAAATCAGCCCTTGAAAACCTTATGCAACACACGCATGGGGTCTACTCTGACACTCAAGGGGTCTCCATGAGTCAGAATCGACTTGTTGGCAACTGGGTTTATTTATAGTTTATATCTGGATGGTGAGAACTTTCTTCACATAGAAGCATACTTAAATCTGACAATATATACTATAAAGGAGGAAAAATTAAAATTTAAATGAAACCGTTTTTGCCTCCTTTGCCCACCAGATGGGGCCACTCTACTCCGTAAACCCAACGCCTCAGTATTAGAAGAGTCCAGTCCGTGCTAAACTTCCCCCAACCCCACCAAAGTCCAGTCCAAGCTGGCTTAAGTACTTAAGGGAATTGTGAGAGATGAAAGAGGGAGAGGGACTGACTTACACATCTGGAGGTCTCATTCTGCTCCAGGCAGATGCCCTGGGTCAATTTCACTTGTTTGATTTCCAAACAGTTGATTACTCCCTGTATTAAAAAAAAAAAAGAAAAAAAAGATAAGCCAGCATGCCTTGTTCCTCATTCCATTCTCCCCTCACTCCATTATTCCCCACTCTGTTCCTGTTTGCTTTCAGTAAGGTACTCTCTAAGAGGCTTAAAAAAATCAGTTGCTGTCAAGTTGATTCTAACTCATGGTGACCCCATGTATGTCAGGGTAGAATTGCACTCTATAGGGTTTTAATAGCTGATTTTTCTGAAGCAGATGGCCAGGCCTTTCTTTCAAAGTGCCTAAATGAACTTGAAACTCCAATCTTTCAGTTAACAGTCCAGTGGGTTTACAGAGAAACTTGTTATTGTTGTTGTTAGGTGCTGTCAAGTTGGTTCCAACTCATAGTGACCCTATGTACAACAGAACGAAACACTGCTGGGTCCTGTGCCATCTTCACAATTGTTGCTATGTTTGAGCCAACTGTTGGAGCCACTGTGTCAATCCATCTCATTGAGGGTCTTCTTCTTTTTCTATGACCCTCTACCTTACCAAGCATGATGTCCTTCTCCAGGGACTGGTCTCTCCTGATAACAAGACAAAGTATGTGAGACAAAGTCTCACCATCCTTGCCTCCAAGAAGCATTCTGGCTGTACTTCTTCCAAGACAGATTCGTTTGTTCATTTGGCAGTCCATGGTATATTCAATATTCTTCACCAACACCATAATTCAAACGCATCAGTTCTTCTTCGGTCTTCCTTATTCATTGTACAGCTTTCGTACGCATATGAGGTGACTGAAAACACCATAGCTTAGGTTAGGAGCACTTTAGTCTTCAAGGTAAGCTCTTGGCTTTTTAACGTTTTAAAGGGGTCTTTTGCAGCAGATTTCCCCAGCGCAATACGTGGTTTGATTTCTTGACTGCTGCTTCCATGAGTGTTGATTGCGGATCGAAGCAAAATGAAATCCTTGACAACTTCAATCTTTTCTCCGTTTATCATGATGTTGCTTATTGGTCCGGTTGTGAGGATTTTTGTTTTCTTTATGTTGAGGTGTAATCCATACTGAAGGCTGTAGCGTTTGATCTTCTTCAGTAAGTACTTCAAGTCCTCTTCACTTTCAGCAAGCAAGGTTGTGTCATCTACATAACACAGGTTGTTAATGAGTCTTCCTCCAATCCTGAAGCCTCCTTCTTCTTCATACAGTCCGGTTTCTTGGATTATTTGCTCAGCATACAGATTGAATAAGTATGGTGAAAGGATACAACCCTGACGCACACCTTTCCTGATTTTAAACCACTCAGTATCCCCTTGTTCTGTTCAAATGACTGCCTTGTGGTCTATGTACAGATTTCACATGAGCACAGTTAAGTGTCCTGGAATTCCTATTCTTCGCAATGCTATCCATAATTTGTTATGACCCACACAGTGGAATGCTTTTGCATAGTCAATAAAACACAAGTAAATATCTTCCTAGTATTCTCTGCTTTCATCCAAGATCCACGTGACATCAGCAATGATATCCCTCATTCAACGTCCTCTTCTGAATCCCGTTTGAACTTCTGGCAGTTTTCTGTGGATGTGCTTCTGTAACTGTTTTCCAAATTAACTTCAGCAAAATTTTACTTGTGTGTGATATTAATGATATTGTTCAATAATTTCTGCATTCTGTTGGATCACCTTTCTTTATAATGGGCACAAACATGGGTCTCTTCCAGTGAGTCGGCCAGGTAGCTGTCTTCCAAATTTCTTGGCACGGATGGGTGCTTCCAGCATTGCATCTGTTTGTTGAAACATCTCAATTGATATTCCACCAGTTCCTGGAGCCTTGTTTTTGCCAATGCCTTCAGTGCAGTTTGGATTTCTTCCTTGAATATCATTGGTTCTTGATCATATGCTATCTCTTGACATGGTTGAACGGTGACCAGTTCTTTCTGGTACAGTGTCTCTGTGTATTCCTTCCATCTTTGATGCTTCCTGTGTCATTCAATTTTTTTGCTCACAGAATCCTTCAATATCGCAACTCGAAGTTTGAATTTGTTCTTCAGTTCTTTCAGTTTGAGAAATGCTGAGCATGTTCTTCCCTTTCGGTTTTCTAATTCCAGATCTTTGCACATTTCATTATAGTGCTTTATTTTGTCTTCTCAACCCACCCTTTGAAATCTTCTGTTCAGCCCTTTGACTTCATCATTTCTTCCCTTTGCTTTAGCTACTTGACGTTTAAGAGCAAGCTTCAGAGTCTCTTCTGACATCCATTTTGGTCTTTTTTTTTCTTTTTCTGTCTTTTTAATGACCTTTTCCTTTCTTCATGTATGATGTCCTTGATGTCATCCCACAACTTGTCTAGTCTTGGATCATTAGTGTTCAATACATCAAATCTATTCTTGAGATGGTCTCTAAATTCGGGTAGGATATAGTCAAGGTTGTACTTTGTCTCTTGTGGATTTGTTTTAATTTTTTCAGCTTCAACTTGAACTTGCATATGAGCAATTTATGGTCTGTTCTGCAGTTGGCCCTGGCCTTGTTCTAATTAATGATATTGAGCTTTTCCATTGTCTCTTTTCATGGATGCAGTAGTTGATTTGATTCCTGTGTATTCCATCCATCAAGGTCCACATGTATAGTCGTCGTTTATGTTGTTGAAAAAGGTATTTCCAATGAATAGGTCATTCGTCTTGCAAAATTCTATCATGTGATCTCCTATGTCATTTCTATCACCAAGGCCATATTTTCCAACTACTGATATGTCTTTGTTTCCAGCTTTCACACTGTAATCATCAGTAATTGAAATTGATCACGTTTGATCAATTTCAGACTGCAGAACTTGGTAAAAATCTTCATTTTCTTCATTTTTGACATTAGTGGTTGGTGCGTAAATTTGAATAATAGTCATATTAACTGGTCTTCCTTGTAGGTGTATGGATGTTGTTCTAACACTGACTGCATTGTATTCCGGGAAAGATCTTGAAATGTTCTTTTTGACGATGAATGTGATGCCATTTCTCTTCAATTTTTCATTCTTGGCATAGTAGACCATACTATTGTCTGATTCAAAATGGCCAATACCAGTCCATTTCAGCTCACTAATACCTAGGATATTGATCTTTATGTTTTCCATTTCATTTTTGACAACTTCCAATTTTTCTAGATTCATACTTTGTACATTCCATGTTCCAATTATTAATGATGTTTGCAGCTGTTTCTTCTCGTTTTGTGTTGTACCACATCAGCAAACGAAGGTCCCGAAAGCTTTACTCCATCCACATCATTAAGGTAGACTCTTCTTTGAGAAGGCAACACTTGTCTAGTCATATTTTGAGTGGCTTCCAACCTGAGGGGCTTATATTCCTGCACTATATCAGACAATGTTCTCCTGCTACCCATAATGTTTTCCCTGATGAATTTTTTCAAAAGTAGATCACCAAGTCGCTCTTCCCAGTCTGTCTTAGTCTGGAAGCTCAGCTGAAACCTGTCCACCATGGGTGACCCTACTGGTATCTGAAATACTGGTGGCATAGCTTCCAGCATCACAGCAACACGTAAGCCACCACAGTATGACAAACTGACAGATGAGTGGTGGCACAAAGACTTAGAGAAAAAAAAATTTAGATTTTTCAGGGGACTAGAGATGTTTAAGAGTTATACTCCCTTCCTTCTTCTCATCCTTATGTCTTTAGATAATCAAAACTTTTGTTACTAGTCTGGGCCTGCAGGCAAGTAGCTTTTTGTAATCTCATTAATATTGGCTTGGAAGGTGCAAAAATCGGGGGTGGGATCTCTTCCTCTTTGGGATGCCTTCTCTCTTGTCAGTCACAGAGCTGCAGCATGGCCATCCAGTCACACAGATACAATGGGGTGGTCTGGTATATGCCTGGTGACACCCATTTTCTTCCTGGCGCCCAAGACTCTCCAGATTCCTATTGTGGCTCCCTTTAAAACAGAAACCAGGCTGGATGCCCACGCCTGCTCCAGGCTCCAACCGCTCATATTTTCTGCTTCTTATGCTGAAAGCTGTTGACAGCCACAGGCCCCAGGTCTGTGAAGAGCAGGCTGACCTCACCACCCATGGTCTGCCCAGTTCTACCACTGCCACAGACCTCCTCACTGCCTGCCTCTGCTTGGCAAAACTGCCAAACATAGGCGGAATGTCATGTGTCCTAAACATTTTGGGTGAAGCAGCTCCATTAAGTGCGAAGCAGTCTCCAAATATTCCCAATGGTGAATGGTGCCCTGTTCAAAGCCCAGACCAAGAGGTACAACCATAGAAACAACCACAGAAGCACAGAGTACTGGATGGATCTCCAAGTAGCCAAAGACTCCCTTTTCTCTCTACTCCCTAGAAACACAATACCCACAGCACAAACCAGCCTTGTTCCCTGACTCCACCTCTTTTCTCCCCTTTCCACTCCTTCCAGCAACATTTAAACTGTCTATTTTACATGCTGATTTCCACATGACTGAAATCCCATTGGGTGGGATGAGGAGAGGCTGGGAGAAAGAGAGAACTTGCATAATATGAAGTGAGGGAGCAATCTGCCATTTTTGGCCCCATTCACTCACCTGAATGGTAACTAGAGTAGGAGGAGATGATGTATAGGATTTAGTGTGAGATGTCATAAGGCTGGTGCTATTGGATGGGGCACTTGAAACATTTCCAGGAAACGTGCTGGGCCCCAAGGTGTTCTCTGAAGTTGAAAAGTTGGTTGAGGTGGTGAATACTGTGAAGGTTACAGAAGTCTGTGACTGGACAGTAGAGTTCATGGTTCCAGGAATGGTGAAGTTGACTGTAGACTCTGGAATAGATCAAAACACAAATGTGTGCAGACGCACACGTGCATGCACACACACACACATCTCAGATAATATTCCTGGATTAAGACTTTACAGATAATAGTAGAGGTATGACCTTCAACCCAGAAAAGAAAATTTGGCGAGTTAACAGTTACTTCATGTCCTAACCCTGACCAAACTCATTCCAAGCCAACTGTAGGAACCATAGCTATAATCTAAAATGTATCAGAGGTGCCCACAGGATTCTGAAACTCAACTGGATGCTGGCCCACCCTAGAGAAGCCAAAAATCCCCAGTTTGAGCCTGTACCCACCTTTCTTCACTTAGAAGAGATCAGAGATCTCTACAGAGTCCGGATCTTATTTTATCACCAAGTTGAACTCAGCATGGAAGCCAAGGTACAAGGAGCACTACTGATCAGCTGCCAAGGCTTACTTTTTCTTCCTTTGGACTTAGAGTTGGACATGAGAAAGCTGTGACTATAGACTATAGGAGAAGTACCCAAAACTTTCCTCAAGGTACCCTAAGTATGATGCCCAAATCATTAAAACGAGTGGCTAGTATGATTCCATTTGTGTGGGTGGGGTGGGGGGAAGGGAGGAGAGTGTTCTGCAAACATCCTAAATGGTTTACCTAAATACTAGGGGCTTCTCCCTGGGGCCTGAGATAAAACACCCTTTATCTTTACCTGAGAAAGAAACATGGACTTCTGAGGTCCCACTGCTGTTCTGAGAGACATGGCTGGGGCTGGTACTTCCAGTGGTACTTGGTGTTATGGTTTCCTGGTCAGATACATTTGTAGGAACAGCTAAAGATGTTCTTGTGATATATGGTCCTGTGGTAGTAGCAGTCAAGTTGCCGGTATCTGTGAACCCAGAGGCAACAGGGAAACAAGGAGGAAAAAATCAGACCTAAACGGTCCTGGAACTTCATGACATCATCTGACTCATTTTCTTGACTTCAGGTAGAATCCTTCTGGAACATTTCCTGCTGCCCCTGGCAATGGAGCAGCATCCGCCTGACAGGGAACGTATTTCCCACTATAAGATTTTTCCTAAGGAAGGAAAACGGTACATGCACACAGATGTCTATTACAGTGTTATTTATAGGAAGGAAGAGTTGCAGCAACTAACTGAATTACAGTAGGATAAATGGTATACACACTTAATAGAATATCACATATCATTACAAATAAAAATTTACGAAAACTGTAGTAACATGGAAATATGAGGTAATGTTTACGGTATTTTAAGTAAAACATTAAAATAAAAAATTACAACTGAATATATAAATACATATTACAAAGATCTAAACCATGATGGAGAGTATGTCTCTATTTCCTGTTTAATGAATTCTTTGTTTTTTTTTGTCACTCTCCATCCAATAAACTAACTTCTCAGATCACTGGGTTCACACCATCTCCATGAAATCCCCTTAAAAATATTCTATCCTACCTCTACAACAAAAAGACAAATAATCCTATTAAAAAATGGGCAAAGGAAATGAACAGACACTTCACCAAAGAAGACATTCAAATGGCCAACAGACA